GTTCGTGGTGGGGCCGATGTAACCTACACAAGCCTCCCATTCTACCGTATATGTCTCTCGGCAGTGGCCTGAGCCGATCGATCGACTTGGGTGACCTAACAGCCTCTCCTCGATGGAGATTCCATAGGTAGGCCCCTCCAAACCGTTCCCGAGAAGGTGGAGGTTAAGGTTTGGAGCACGGAGACAGACTCTGATCGCGCTGGTGGACAAAAACATCATAGCCGCTGGGGCGTAGGGTCCTCGCGGTCCAACCAGGCTTACTCAAAGTTTGCGCCCACACACCATGCCTCCAGTTTTAAAACATAAGGATGGGTCGGGCAAAGAGAATGTCTAACGAATATACACTCCCATCAGCCCCTGAGCGATGTCCGACCCCCTGCCATTACCGGGGTCAGAGGCTCGGTATCGAAATTAATGCGTAAAGTAAGTAAGTAAGGGTGCTTGTCTCTCGGCGATGGATTTGAGCCGTTCGATCGACCCAAGTACCGGTTTTACCTCGATGATAAGAGTGATGGATTCGAGAAGCCTTCACCGATATGAGCGGGATCCAGTCTGCTCCTTACCCATTTCTCGTTAGTGGCCAAGCCGTCCGATCGACTCGCGTTACCCGTTTCTCGTTAGTGGCCAAGCCATCCGATCAACTCGTGTTACCTGTTGAGACAAGTTTTTCCTACAAAAATAGAGAATGAGGACATCCTACGCAAGAATTTAGTTAGGCAGATAGGCCAAGCGGAAAAAACTTGTCGTAAATGGACAAGCTCTTGAATTTTGGTGTAGCAAACGGTCTCTTTGCTCTTCTCCCCTTTTGCATAAAGAGTTAGTGCATTCCGAAGCTTTTCGTTTGTTAAGGTCATAAGAGCTCGGAGTACGGGCGAGCCAATTCTGATTATGCTAGTGAGCAAAGGCGCCATAGCCGCTGGGGCGTAGGTATCCCGTAGTCTGACCAGTTATACTCAGAGCTTGTTCTCGTAAACCTAGCTCCTAGGTCCTAACATAAAAAGGGGGGCAGGCACAGAAAATGTTTGCCGGATAGATACGCTCATATCAGCGCCTGAGTGAGATTTGACCCCTAACCATTGCTGGGGCCGGATGTCAGTGAAAAATCGGGGAGTTGGATAACAACATTGATAAGAGAAAATGTGCGTTTATTTAAGGGTAAAAGCGACGTAGCTGCTCGATGTTCCAGCCATTGGTGAAGATTTGACCATCGATGGTCTTGAGCTTGTAGGCGCATGGATAGAGCACCTCTGCAACTACATACGGTCCCTACCACGGCGAGGAGAGCTTGTGGCGGTCCTTGTTGCTCTGTACGAGGAGAAGGACCAGGTCCCCGACGTTGAAGGCTCGGCCCCGCACTCGTTGGCTGTGGTACCGTCGCAACGTCTATTGGTACTTGGCCGAGCGACAGAGAGTGACATCGCGCGCTTCATCCAGCTGGTCCATGGCATCCTCATGGGATGCCTTGGCTCCCTGTTCGTCATACGCCCTGATCCTTGGCGTTCCATAGTAGAGGTCGGTTCGGAGGATGGCCTCGGAACCATAGACGATGAAGAAGGGCGTGCTACCTTACTACTTGATGTTGCGTACTAGTAGTCTAGTAGCACCACTTATTATTGTATTACATGCTAAGAATTGGCAATATTAATGTCTGATTTGCTTCTGAATTTTTAGTTAACTTATATATTAATATGTTTATATGGCGTCACCTAGGCGGTCGCCTTATTCGCCTTGGCGTCCAGAAGGGGGTCGCTCGTCTCGCCTTGCCTTACCGCCTTTAAAACATTGGTTGAGGCAAGCTTTGCTCAGAGAACCGTGTCGTTGCTAGTACTAGGCTCTGTAGTTCATCAGGATTCCTGCATTGCATTCCCAGCTGCAATAAACTAGTCTGCTTTTTGTACAAAATTAGTTTTTTTACATCATGACCTTGCCTCTGTTTTCATCTGCTTCTTTTTTGCAATTAAATGGGGGTGGGGGTGGGGTGGGGCTGTAGGTTGCAAATGAACACAGACACTATACTTGCTTTTTCAGTATACATAAATTACTATTTTAGGAAAACATTGTTACCTAATGAATTACACTTAAATTGCCTAAGAAAATGCAATCCACTACAGCATTACCTGCAACAACCTGCTCATCACCAATAGAGGCTCCAGGAACATCCTCTATTCTTGTTTTTTGAAGCGATAGCCTGATTTGAGACACAGTTGGCACATCCTGTTGGTTTGGTGGTTGTTGAGTGCAAAATATTGGGTAATCTGCATCTGTTGGCTCTTAAAATATTGCATCTAGGAAATCATAGTCAAATCCTAGTGGAGGGTTATTCAAGTCCATAACGCTTGTTCTATTCGTCGTCTACAATGAAAAGAGAATGTGTTAATGCAATGACATTTATGTTTTTTAGACAGGGCATCAAGAACAGTACTGATTTGGGCAACATAGGCACCTTAATTAAGCAATAATACTACTACTTTCACACAATAATGTCTTCTCAAATAGGCAACATTAAGTTTTTTTAACATATGCATCCTTTTTTATCCCCATCCAGCAACAATTTTACGACACATCTTATCCTTTTTTAATATGCAGGATGCAGGCCATGTACATAGAAGCAATATGCAGGCCATGTATAGAGAAGCTGCCAAAATGTGTGCTTTTTCCTAAGGACTAGATGTAGTGTTGTTCTCTAAAAAACTATATATGCAAATGTGTTCTTTTTTGAGATGTGGAAGCTTACTGTATGTTTTTCTTTTCAGAATGCATTGCCTTTTTTGTGAACGTATACATGGAGTGCCTAAAATCATATGTCTGGGCCTAATTTGCCTTTCCCCATAATAACCGTTGTCAGTATCTGGGTCTGAGCCGCACAAGCCAACAAAGCCAGCTTGAAAAACGGCAGGAAACTTTTCTTCCGGGTGCCAAAAAGCCAGCGATTAGCATTGTTGCCAAAAAAGGTATATAATAAGTGCACTTTACCAAAAATGGCATGGCCGTGCGGATGACCTATATTATGGCCGGCTGTGCATTAGCCAGATTCTTTTCATAAATTTATTTATAAATTTTGAATCACTTCCTCAACTAGCCAGACCCCCAGCGCAGATCCCTCAAGTCATTATTTTTCTTATCATAAAACGAATCCCTCTAATCAGTATTGGTGTGTCCAAATTCAACAGTATGGTTCCGGTGCATCGAGACCATATCTAATAAATTGATAAACATATATATATATATATATATATATAGACACACACACCAAGGACCACATAACCCAGCTCTTGAGTCAAGACGACCGTTCGTGTCGAACGCTCCTTGACGGCCTGCACGCTACCACTACTGGCTCAACAGGCCTGTGTACTCTATACACTCCTTATCTCTCAAGAAAATATCTCCCCACTCTGCTCTTCTATCACGTGCTTCACCGCGCGAGGCCGCGACTGTGCTTTGCGACCGCGTTTCGCCGCGCCTCCCGCATGCCTTCCTCTCTCCACCGCACCTCCCCGCCGGCCTTCATCTCCACCACCACTCGCCCGCACCGCCGTGGCATGCTCCCCCACGACCGCACAGCCGATGTCGCCTTGCCGCACGGGGCCACACCCACCCAATTGCTGTTGTTGTCTCCACCGCGGGAACTGCTCGTCTGGGGCACCGCACGAGCCCTATTGCTGGGGGCAGCGCAGCCGCTCACCAGGGGCTGCGTAGCCACCCACCCATTGCCATCCTCCTTCTCCACCGCGACTAGCCAAATCTGATGCGCATTGCTTCGCTCGCTTGACTTCCAGGTTTTATTGAAAGCGCATGTTGCAAGTATATGTTTCAAGTGTTTTAGATGTTTTCAGAGGTATGTTGCACGTGATTCAGATGAATGTTGCAAAATTAGATCGAAATGTTGCATATGTTGCAATGGTTGTACACTTATGTTGCAAAGGTCTGTTACCAATGTTTCATCTGTGTAATTGGGACATATGTTACTAGTGTGCTTATCTGAATGTTGCATATGTTTCACACATATGTTGTAAGTGTTTTATCTAGATGTTGCGTATGTTTACAATGATTTTCAAGTGTTTTCATGAGATTTTTGAAGTGTTTCAGAAAGATGTTTCAAATATTTCATCTGTCTTCTTTTGTATGTTGCACATGTTGCATGTAGATGTTTCTTTTATATGTTGCACGTGTTGCATGTAGATGTTTCAAAAGTAGATCGAGCAGAGTATAGTGGATCTCTATCTGGTTGGTGTGGATCAGATTCTTAGCGGTGTTTATTGACTCCACAGTAGTTAGTGGCGGCGTGCAGACCACGCCCCTACCGCAGTGGTCAGCGGCAGCTTGAGGCAGTTTTTGGGCAGGTGCCTCCCGCATGCGGGCCCCTGCGTAGGGCGCATGAAATGGCGTGGAAGCAAACTGCAGGTGCGGGCATCCTGACGCCCCGTCCATCCGGACGTGCGGGCTAGCAGTACCCTTTTACAAGTCAACTACCAAATATGCTCAACATTCAAATACTTTTACAAATCAACTACCAAATATCAAGCTAAAGTAATGCCATAAAGATCAAGAATTGCTTTTACAGCAAAAGACAGTAGCAACCAGAGCAACAACATTTACAATGAAAACAGAAAAGGCTGTATGTCAAGCCAATGCATTTCATCCTGTCTAACAACAACATCCAGGACATGCTTTCAGCATTCACAAGGCGTTAATGTCCCACTGTTCCAGAGCAGAGACCAATGTAGTTTGATGTAGCATTAGAGTACTGGACCATCTGGGCTAATCAACTCAAGATACCACCGTCTGCACTAAGTTTCGCCTGGTCTGAGAATGCCACGACAAGTACATCCTCAATGGCGATCAGCACAATGTTCTGTTCTACAAAATCCAATGTACAAGTAGTATGCCAAATCCTGTTAAGGATAAAAAAGACAAAAACCTCCATGGGCAACTGACCATGAGGCTGTTACATGAACAATTTGGTCCTGTTTGCAACATCTTCAAGCACATCATCTTCATCTTCATTCCTTAGGTAACTGATCATGAGGCTGTGAGACAAACAGTTTAGCATTCTCTGCAACTTCTGCTTCAAGCACAGCCTCGAGGACTAGGTCTGAGCCTGTTGGTCCATCTGTGGAGACAAGAAAATTGAGATGATATTGGTTTGCACTGCTATCACTATCAAGGTACTTGCAGTGAGACAACATCAGAAAATACACTGGATCAAATATGTTAATGAAACACTATGGACTCCAAGCTGAGTTCCAACAAAATTTATTTACATCAGTTCATTGTTGCCCTTTTGGCACTTTAAATTTACCATAACACTACTACATAGTAGTTTTGAACTTTGATGGACTATTTTAATCTAAGATAAAATTGTGAAGGACTGTTTTTATGATACATTGGCAGAAATGTTAATTGAAACACAGAAAAGGTCATTATACCACAGCAATACGAAAGATAACTGAAAAAAATAGAAACAATTCCACCGAGCAGACTTTATGGATTTTTGTAATGCACCGAGCAATTTTAGCATTTGCTGAACCAAGTCATAGCAGTGAGTAGCATTAGGAAAAAAAAAAGCTATGCCAATTATGCATAGATTTTTTATTATATATCAACCACAAGAATGGCAATCCTATCTATGTCATTACATGACAACATCCCAGTTTTTCAAAAAAAAAGGCTAAGATTTAGACATGCATGCTTTGTTATATACCTGGGCGGCTTGGAAGTAATCCGGCACTTTCAGCTGATATTGGCAATACATTTAGCAGCCCATTGCTTTCCTTGAATTGCTCTTGGTAGTTCCCACTCAAGGAAGAACCCATCTTAAGTCCTGGGGCTTCAGATAGCCTTGCATACGTCATTGCTTGGCTGTGCAGATTTGTCAATCCTGAATTAGCCATTTTCATGTCCTACAGGAGCAAAAAGGCGGTGAATAGTAAACCAGCATTTGCTTAGAAATTGAAGAGATGATGATATAATCATACCGTGGATTTCAGTGTCGTTGGTTCATCAGCCACTTCATGTTTTCTAGCTTCAGTTGTGCTCACTGAAATAGTTGTAAAGATCTAATTAGCCAATTATTGGCAAACATAGTTCAGGAAAAAAAACAATATTGGCAAACAGTCAGAAAGAAACAAAAGGATATTATGAAGACAAAGAAACATTAAAGTTACCAAAGTTTTTAATTTCATCACGAATTATACTGCGAATTTCCTGACGAAATTCTTCTTGCTGCATTGTCATAAAAGCACTGTTAAGTAGAAGAAACAAATGTTTCAAGTGTAGTGCAAGCATTGCAATGAAAAGTTCTAACAGCATGTACCCATTGCAAGCACAACACGGTCAGCACTCAGATCTATCAACAGAAAAACATGGAACAACACATAACTTAAAAGGGAAAAAAAGCACATCCGTCGTGTAATTGTTTGTTCTTGTGCATGTTTTAAGCCTTGGAGTACTTTAGAAAGGGAACATGGCCAGAATTTGCAGGATAGGAGGACTATATCAAGCCAGAATATATCTGTATTGAAGCCACACTACAGACTGTATGTCATAGTAGGCACATCAGAATGCTTCTTATAGCAAATTCACATTTAAGCATTTTGATCTATTGAAACATCAACCATTAGTAGATACCTCAAGTACTCATATTAAAACTGAAAAAATATGATGTACCACCATACCTTAGTTGCAGAACCATCAGATGAATCAGATTTCCCTGCTTCAGCCATGCCTGCTCATGTGTAAATCAATGGTGAATTTTGGAGCCAAATAACTTAACTGAAATAATGTAGTGAAATACTAACCATAGAAAAATGTGACTTTATTGCAAAGTAAGATTATTATTACCAGTGTTATGTTGCTTCATCATAAACTGCCCAGGAGTTAATCTAGATAAGTTCTGGACTTCATAACGAATTGAGTCTAATTGTGTCATAGCTTCTTTAAGCTCCTTATGAACCTGAATACAAAAGAAATATTATTGACAATTCTACCATGTGAGTTTCACACAAATATATTGAATATCAGTATATCACATACAGTGCAAGGTTCCACAATCAATCCATCAGTTGAAATAGACTATTGTAATTACAGAGGAATCAGTTCACTAGCAACATGTGCAGTGACAATAAGTATTATTCGTCAAAATAACCAGAACCTATGTCATGACTGATTAGCCTCAGTTGTATTGGTGGCTAATGTTGAGTTCCATTTGCTTCCAGAACTATTGAAACCTGTGCACAGATGAAACTATGTGATCACAGTTAATTTCAGGTTATAAAATTGATAACTGGTGTTCATTCAGCTGCCGACCTATGGTGATTATGAGTAATGCTACACATGCAAAAAATTCTATGAAAATTATTCTTATGTGCTGGCATGGACAACCACCACCACCAAGTGAACTCTTTCTTTTGGTAGTTTCAAATCAGATTGCCTGGTGGTGATTGTCCATATCCAGTTTATGTAAAAAAAGAAAGGTTTGTAGGTGTAGCATTAATAGGTGATTATATGTCTCAACTGGCCCAATTATACACCTAATTGGTGAAGTGAAATGATATGGGTACCCATTCCTTGTGTACAGGCCTGTGCACCATTTGGTGACATTGGGTGATTACAGGACAATGAACATAATAGTTAATTTTGCCAAGGTAATAGTTCAACGGCTGGAAAACTGTGTAACAAGCTATGCATGAATCAACCCAAGAAGCCAAAGTGAGGATAGTTTTTTCTACACCCTTCACAAAAATGGTGGATATCACAAGAGCTCGTAGGCAAGGCTTGTGAAAGTGTTCAGTCCTACCCATAGCAGAAGGATTTCACCTACAACCCACTCAGAAAACTGGATGCTAAACCAGCCAAAGTGAGGATAGGTTTTTCAACACCCTTCACAAAAATGGCGGATATCACAAGAGCTCGTAGGCAAGGCTTGTGAAAGTGTTCAGTCCTACCCATAGCAGAAGGATTTCACCTACAACCCACTCAGAAAACTGGATGCTAAACCAGTAATGTGCAGTTTTGCTTAAAATTCAGCAGATTGCCGAGTGGAAAAGGAAAACCATTATCCCCAGAGGGCAAATTAACCTTTGTGAAATTCACCATCTCCTCAACACATCCACCTCGCAGCATTCACGGGGTATCACGGTGAAGAAAGGGTGTATTGTATTCAAAATGTACCTGGGTGGCTGCAGACTGGCCCAGAATCTGGTCCAGCTGCCGGCGAGCCACTATGAGCCGCCCGACCGCTCTCCCAGTCATCCTCCCAGCCATCCTCGCAATCTTCACCATGTCGCTGGGCTCTGAACAAAAGCGAAGAAACCATGGTCAGACCGAAATATCACTTCCAAAACGTGCCGATCCCGTCCTATAAGGGAATCATCTTCCCATCGGTCGCCGCCACCGACAGCCGCCGCCGCACGGCCGGAGCGGAAGCAGGGCGCGGTGGCGCGGAGAGGTGGGTTACTCACTCATCATGACGGAGCAGGCCCCGAGGATGACCAGCAGCTGGCCGGTCGAGAACCCCAGCATCTTCGCACGGACAAGCGGCTGCTGCCCGCGCGGGGGCGGTGGGGGGGATCCACGCGGCCGTTCCCGCGCACGCGCACGATGGGCGGCGGCCGGCGGCCGGCGGCGGTGTGTGAGACGGTGATGGGGAGAGAGAGATGGCGTGGAGAAGTAAGTGGGCCGGGCCTTGGCTAGTTGAGGCTGGAAATGGTTGAGCTGCGGAGTGGGCTGGCGTCTGAGAGGGCTCTCTGATGGGAAAGAGCCCAGGATTGCAGAGTCCAAGTCAACAATCTGCTGGAGTGCTGGATGCCAGTGGTCACACGTGTCAGTAATCCTTGGAACAAAGGTGCTAAACAAAATTCAAAAGCCAAAGAAGTTCCACCATATAGATTCTGGAAGGAGCTGATTTTCTTTGGTCTTGTTTGGCAGACTTTTTTTTTTGCTCAGACTCCTTCGGAGAGAGTCAGAGCCAATGAAGCCAGAAATACTAGTTTCATCATGAAATGCTGGGTTTTATGGGCTCTTAGTTCATTTCTGGAATAGAGGGAAAATTGGTCTCTTACTACGTTGTAGAATATTCCTTAGAAACCGAAACTGTTTTGTGAGGGAAAGCTTCCACAATAAGGCATTCTAGAAGGAGTTGTTGATGAGCTGTCACAGGACACTTCAAGGCAAATGTGGAACGCACCAACACACGATTACAGGACCCATTTCTTTTTATTTACTACCTTCGTCCCAAAAGAATGCAACCATGAGTTACGTGTCACGTAAAGTGGTTCACGTTTAACTAAATTGGTTTCTAATGCATGGTATTCACATTTATGGCTCTAAATTAATTTATTATGAAAATGCATTTCATAATTAATCTAATACGGAGTAATATTTATTTGACATCATAAATGTTGATACTTTTTTTATCTATAATTGGTCAAATTCAATATAATAAAATATGACACTGTGTTAGAATTGTATTTTTTTCCTGGGGATAGAGCGAGCAGTATACTGCTAATAACTTTGAACGGTTCATGCTGACACACCGGAGTCTTGAGACCTCGCTAATGTGCACATGGTCATTGTCTGCTTGCAACAATTTCTCTTCTAGCTGGCTGACTGATACACTAGACTTGGAATCATGAGTAAACTGTGCCAAAGACACCAGACTTGGAACCATGCCTTTACTGTGAAAAAGACCATGGAATGGAACCCAGTCCTTACGACACGCCCAAATCTGACTATAAAATGAGTGCCATTTGCACCTTCAACACAGCAAACCACCACTACTGCTAGTATAATCAGAGATTCAGAATTTTATTTCCTGTCGCCATACCCATGCATATACAACCTGTCCTTCTTCCACCTTTTTTGACATGGAGCGTGCATCCTTGGCGGGTGGCGCCATGGCGTCCCTCGCCCTGAAGCTCAACTCCGTCCTCAAGCCCAAGTACGAGCTCATGGCGGGCGCGAGGACCAACGTCCTCTTCCTCCGCGCAGAGCTCGAGAGCATGCACGCCTTCCTCGAGAAGCTCTCCAGGGTGCGTGACCCGGACGCCCAGGCCAAGACCTGGACCAAGGAAGTGAGGGAGCTGGCCTACGACATCGAGGACACCATGGATGAGTTCATGCACCGTGCCCATGCCCACAGTGCTAGCACAGGCACCGCTAACTGTGGGTCAAGTGGAGGCGTTCTAAGGTTCACTGGACGCGTTACGTGGCTTGTGAGCACAGTGTGGACGCACCTCCGCCTCGCCAACGAGCTCAAGGGCCTCAAGGCCCGCACCATTGAGGTGAGCAAGCGGCGATCGAGGTACAGATTTGGTGAGGACTTCTGGGTTTCTAGGGACCACATCGTTGTTGATCCTCGGATCAACGTCCTCTATGCTGATGTGCCAGATCTGGTTGGCATTGATAGCTCGCTGACTAACATCGTTGACTGGTTGATGGATGGGACCACCGGTCTCAAGGTGCTCTCCATCGTTGGCTTTGGTGGTCTAGGCAAGACAACTCTTTTGCCATGGAAGTGTTCCGAAGGATTGGAAGGCAGTTCAGCTGTCGAGCTTCTGCTGCTGTCACAGAAGCTTGATGCGAAGAAGCTCTTGAAGGACTTGCTCTCGCAGGTGGCTCAAGAAGAGGTTGACCGCATGGACACGTGGGAGGAGAGTCAACTCATGCGCAAGCTGAGGGAGCGCTTGTTAAATAAAAGGTAACTGAGGTCGACCTACCAACAATTTCTCTTACCAATATGCTTTTGGGTTAATAAGTAGTCAGGATTAGGTCAGAGAGTGCCTATGACTAGACCTGAGCAAAACCGGTTTGGCCCGAGCCCCCTGAGTTTGGCTCAGCCCACTGACCTTATTGGATAGGGCCTAGCTAGAGGTTTCGCTGATCAGAAAAAAATCATTTATTTTTAAACTGCAAACTCACATGTAACCCACCAAGGCCTAAACCCAACCCGAAATGCGAGGCCCAAACCTATCCATTGGGTGGACCTAGGCATGGATTTTAGGTCCGAAACTAGCCAGCCTTTTTGTAGGCCCTGCCTAGCCCGACTTGTGCTTAGATGTACCTATGGCATGCCATGTTATAAAGACATGATCTCAGGATCTATAGCTCACAATGCACAACATAATTGTGATGACAAAATATATGAACTTATCCAATTATCTTTACCTTCCCCCAATCCTCTTGCTCTCTCATCCTATCTCGGTTTTTGCGAATCCGTCCCAATAGATTTCGTATAGTTTCTCAAACTCTAATAGTTGATAGAAAACATTATCTTGCACAAGACCTAGGGCATGTTTGGATGTGATTTTAAAATCCAGATTTCAAATAAAAATAACCTCTAATGTTTCTTGGATTTTGTGCATTTGTGTGAATTCTCTAGAATCCAAGGGTGTTTCTAAGATTTTGAGATTTTTAAAATCCCTATGGATCCAAACGTTACCCTAGTTTTTTCCTTTCTCCTCTTTAGTGCTTTCTCCTCTTTTTCTTTTGAAATTGAGAGAATAGTTTTTGGCCTCACACAGCTCGGTTTTTGTTACAATGTTTTTAGCTATCCAAATACGATGATGGAAAACCAAAAAGTGCAAGAGCTGCCTATGCTATCTCAATGAAAAGATAATTGTGGCTCATTTCAAGTTCTATATAAAGTCTCAATTTGAGATGACTTTTGTGTGAACTGGTCGTACCATTAAATTACTTTTCTTTGAATTATTAAGACCCTAATTTCTCTACAATACTGCTATATAACCTGAAACTAATGGACTAAACAAGCTGAACTATCTGCAGAATCTGGGTGCCTTTGAATCAAAATCTGAACATTATATCTATTTTTTCTCGAACATATATGAAAAAAGACCATGTGATTCAAGGCACCAATATTCCATTAAACAAAATGAGGAAAAAAGATAAAATCCTGGAAGTTTTCTAACTATTTTAGAGAAGAACAAGATCCACACCCTTATTTTCATGGGGGAAACACAATTATGCAAAAAATATATAATACTTTGTGTTTGTTAATACTAAACCTGATGACGATGGATAGCTCCCATGGTAACATTTCTATGCTTTTCCAGGGCCTTTGATTGTACCCTTAATTGTATGAACTTGTATCATGTTAGGACACTAACCTCATTTGTACAAGCTACCCTCATACCTCCTTTATCTGAGTTTAGAGTCCTGCGAGTGTTAAATCTCGAGGGATACCAAGGATTCAGCGAAAATTATCTGAAAGAGGTCAGCAATTTGTTTCATTTGAAGTATTTGAACCTCCGGAGGACATGGATTTCTAATCTCCCACCACAAATAGGAGACCTGAAAACTTTGGAAACACTAGAAATAAGAGATACAAATATAGAAGAGTTACCTGGAACAATAACTGGTCTTCACCAACTCAAGTATATACTCAGTGGTGGCCATACATGGGGAAAAGTAAAGCTACCAGATGGTATAGGGAGCATGGCATCCCTAAGAGCCATACTAGGTTTCGACATTTGTCGCAGTTCAGCATGTGCAGTACAAGAACTTGGTAATCTGCAAAGTTTGAAGGAGGTTGCAATCAACTGGACAAATTTTACTTCTGGAAATGTGAAGCACCTAGAGGCTTTGATGAGAACTTTAGGGAAACTGGGCACAAGAAACCTTCAATCCTTTGCAATCTGCAGTCGCAACTTAGGTTCCCTTGAGTTTCTGGATTCTTGGTCGCCAGCACCCAATAGCCTTCAAAAGTTCAGACTATCAGCATATTACTTCCTCCCAAGAGTACCAAGGTGGATGGCACCACTCTGCAACCTCATTGATTTAAACATTAACATTGCAGAACTAGCATATGAAGACATATTAATACTCAGAGAGTTGCCTTCCCTACTTCGTCTTGACTTATCGTTGAAATCACCTCAGAAAGATGATACAATTGTCATTCATGGAGTAGGATTCCCATACTTGAAAGAGCTCTTCTTCAGCTGTGAAGAAACTTGCTTGCTATTCGAACCAGCATCATTCCTGAAGCTCGAGAGGCTACACACAACAATCCATGTAATCAGAGCAAAGCCATACAGTCACACATTTGGCATTGAACACCTTAAATCTCTCAAGCAAATCAGCATCCAAGTTTTCTGTTATGGCGCAAATGCATCTGATATCAAGGATGTTGATCATGCAATTTCTACTGCTGTGAATTACAATCCTAACCATCCTAGGATGAACATCGAAAAACGTGGCATGGATTTGAAATTAGAGGAGAGAAACAAGAGAGAACATTCCAAAGACAAGAATCTGGAAAAACCTCCAAGCAAAGAAGATATTGGTCATACAGACAAGAAGAGAAGGAAATTACATATTGAAGAACATCATTCGGCAAGTGCAACATGATTCCTCTGCAATTGTAACTTCAACAACAAAAGATAGAATCAAGGCAGGCCGATATATTTACACTAGGACCTTTTTTTATTAAGAGTGTAGCAAGTTATAGCCTGGAATTAGCAAAGCTCCTGATGGGTCACAACTGGAAAAATAACAAAAAAGGAGTCATTCACTTATGGTTGATGACAACGGTCACCAAACAGATAAACATGCATCTGTCTTCTTTACAGAAATGTACAGTAACATGCGCAGATTACAAATGGCATGAACACAATCATGCAGCCCAATATTGGAACCTACAGGCAACAACAGACAGCTATGTACAAAGACATTGATCACATCTTTCAAAATAAGGTTGCAACACACCAAACCATTAATCGCTACCAATTTTCCTTAACAATCTTTGCTTTCTCAAATATGAACTTCCCTTCCTTGTATCTCTGCGACTCCTCATAAGCCCTCTCATATTTCCACCCTAGCACCTCACGACAGTCACGGCAGTAGATATCAGCAACGGTGTGAAGGCCTGTCATGAGATGCCTATCCTCCTTAGGCCCCACAGCTATGTTCATGGCATGAGAAAACAGAAATGCACGGCCATTCCGTCCCTAGAACAGTCAGTAGAGCAAGGGAGAGACAACATCATCCTTCAAAGACAATTAGACAAACCAAAAAAAAATCAAACTACAGCTTGTTCTTCTCTACTCTGCAGAGAGACGAATTCAGGTCTCACTAGGAAATGCAGCAACCAATGAAAATCTGTTCAAACTGATGAAATAAGAATGCAGCAAGTAAACAGGCTTTCTTAGGTTGCTGCTAAGCTTCTTCAATTCTACTGCAGCCAAACTACTAGTGTAATAGTGTTGTCATGAATAGACTAATTAAGGAATTTTTTTACTCGCTGAGTCACTGACTGATGGCAGATAAATTATAGGATTTCACAAACAATGCGCCCAACACTACTCTCTTTTTTTTTTTCGGGCGAGGACGCCCAACACTACTGTTACTGTTTCAAAAAAACACTACTGTTACTGAAGAACTAGGACCATGGTTAGGAAGGAATCTGAAATCCCCCCAAGAACTGAGAAGGAGCTCCAGCTCTTCACCTGAAAGGCCTTGGAGATAATGTCGTCGTGGAGGCAGACGTGGTTCCGGCAATGGCAGCAGCTGTACACCCGCGGCCCCACCAAGTCCGCCATCGTCAGCGCCCTTCCCTCCACTCCCCTGCCTGCATCCAATCCACGAAATCAGGATGCCGTTTCACCCTCCCAAGAACTGGAGAAAACCAAACCAAAAGAACCCAGATCAAACCAAGAATCAGAAGTTCAGAACATACCGCCGACCCGACGACTGCGGTCGGTCGATCCAGCGATCGATTCGATGAGAGGGGAGCTGGCACGGGGAAGAAGAGGACGGATCAGTTGATCGGCCGGGGCGCGGGAAGAACAGCAGCAGCACGCAAGTGACGGTGAGAGGGGCCACGAAGCGGAGAGCAGAGAAAGAGGGAGAGGCCCGCAAGAAAATAGGCGGCGCCGATGAATGCAAAAGGCGAACAAAACCCACAGGATTCAATTCAACCCCGCAAAGGTGAAAGTGGCACTGGTTTGCTGGGAGGGGAAATTTGGCCCGGGGCTGGGTGGCGAAATCAAGGTGAGAACATTCTTGAGGTTGAGGGGAGGGGAGGAGGGGAACAGTGATGAGACCCGGTGGATGGAATGGAATCCGAGTAGGAAAGGGAGGAGGCTGACGGAGGGGATGATGGCGAGGTTTAGATTAGGATACAGAAATTGCTTTTTTTTTTTTTGAGAATATGATACAGAAATTGCTGGTTAGTCGGGTTAATTAAGCGGTGTGGATTACGGAGTGTGGTTCATCATTGCGGGATTATTAGGGAACAAGAACATCAGCTGAAAGGTCAGTTGGAGTTTCATGGTTCCAAGACTCTAATGCGTTGTAAACGTGTGGATAATTAAACTCATTTCATCTTATACAGTTTTAATTATCTCTCTTCATTTTTTTGAGCAAAATCTCTCTTCGTTTATGCTACGTCGCGTTAACTAAATTAATGTCCATCTTATGAAATCTTCACTGCCCTAAAAAGAATGCTGATACTCTCTCCGTCCTCAAGTAAATCAATTTCTAGAATCCATGTCAGTCAAACTATTTTAAATTTGACTAACTTTATAGAAGAGAGTAACAATATCTATGTCATAAAATAAGCATCTTATAAAAATATATTCTATTGTAAATCTAATGATAATAATTTGATATCATAAGTCTTAATGTTTTTTTCAAAAAATTTGGTCAAAGTTTAAAAAGTTTAACTTAAGACAACTCTAGAAATCTATTTATTCAGGCACAGATAGAGTACTAGCTTCCGTAGGATCGTACTAGCGATTAAATAAATGGAAAGTAATATTGTTGGGATGTAGTCCTTCGCGCGTACCTTCATCCGGACGGACGAAGGTACCTTCACCGGGATGAAGGGAAACCTAGGGAGCTAGTCCCACACAGGAGAATAGAGTGCGAAGAGAGAGAGCCCCTTCCCCTTTGCCCTTGGGTTCTATTTATAAGGGGAGGTGGGAGGATGCATCTTCCTCCCCACCCCTTTTAGTTCAAGAATTTATTTGAAGGTCCTCAGACCTACTAGGCACTAGACCTTTTTACATGGAGGGGGTAGGCACAGCCGCCCCTACCCCCATAGAAGTCCCTTAGCCACTAGGTTTTGGTGGTACAACAAAGCCTAGTCGCTATATAATAGAAAAAAGGTTCAAGAGTACAATTCCTTAGTCAATCCTGGGCTTCGATGGGTGTCCTCATAGCAGGAAGCGCTTCGACGACGAGGGTCGAAGGCCATGACATGACGATGATGACTTGTCGATTGCAGAGGTCGATGACTTATTAGCCCCTTCTTGGCTTAGTTGCCGTGAGTGTCTCCACCTTACCGGGAGTAGCTCTCTATAGCTGAAGTAGTCGTAGTAGCGCAAGCAATCGTTCTAGCAGTCGCTGTTGTCGGACGTAGATGGACGCGGGAGTTGCCACCGAAGGTCGATGATGACGCATTTGTCGAGGTGGACATGGATGGAGTAGTTGTCATAGCCGGCAGGGCTTGCCTCCTTCGGCTCATGAGCAGCGGGCAAGACATGTCCTCCGGGTTGAATTAGTCCCCCAATGCACCCCCTTAGCCCCTCTTGGCTGGTGCTTATGAGCAGGCGGAGGCTTCATGTCGACGGTGTTGACGATGAACTTTGGGGGAGGTTCTTCACTTTGGCTAAGGGTGACGGCAGGGTGAAGTTGAAGTCACCATTGAAAGTAGTTGATGTTGAAGTTAGCCTAGCGGAGCCGAAGTTGACATCAAAGCAGACAAGTAAGGCGATGGTGATGTAGATGGTGCCGAAGGCAGGTGCGGATCTTCAAACCAAATGTGAGGTCAAGGTGCTGATGAAGTGTTGGTGAGGGTGAGGTTGATATCACCGAGGTCGATGGAGAGCCCCTTAGCAAAGTGTTGGTACCACCGAGGTCAGATGGCGAGCCTCTTGCCAAAGTATTGACAAGGGTACGGTTGATGCCGCCGAGGTCGACAGCGAGCCCCTTAGTGAAGTGTGGCGAAGGTGCGGTTGATGTCACCGAGGTCGATGGCGAGCCCCTTGCTGAAGTGTTGGCACCACCGGGGTCGATGGCGAGCCCATGGCCGAAGTGTTGGTGAGGGTGCGGTCAAAGTCACCGAGGTTGAAGGCGAGCCACTTGCCAATGTGTTGGTGAGGCTGCGGTTGATGTCACCGAGGTTGAAGGTGAGCCTGTTGCCAATGTGTTGGCATCATTGGTGTTGATAAAAGATGCTCGGCAGTCCTCCGAGGGGTATCCCACGAAGGTAGATTGATCGGCAGAGGTGCGCGTAATCAAGAACAAGAAGGCAACAGATATACAAGAGTTAGACAGGTTTGGACCGTCAGCACGACGTAATACACTACTCCTGTGATCTGTTGGTTTGTATTGACGATCGTCTGATATGGCGTGTGTTCAGATGCCTTAGGCTGAGCCTAGGATCCGTATGGGGATATCGACTAGGGGACCCCTGCCCCTCCTTATATGCTCTGGAGGGGTAGGGTTACAAGGAAAGTATCCTATTTGGTATTATACGATATCTTATTGTAGCCTTGCGGTGCACGTCGACCAGTGCCGTGCGCCGCACGCCTTGATCTTGTGCGTTGGGCCACCTTTGGTGGTACGGTCCATGTCTTATCTTGTGGGTACCGAGGGCCATACCCCCACAGCTAGTCCCCGAGCGCCTTGTATCCTTTGAGCAACGCTGTCTTGAACAAGTCCGAGCAGTTTGACGTGAAGCTGACTAGTTTAACTGGTGATCCGAGCAGTGGAAGTCAAAGCCGATCAGTTTAACTGGTGACCTGGGCGGTGAAAATCAATACCAACTAGTTTAACTGGTGACCTGGGCGGTGAAAGTCAATGCCGACCAGTTTAACTGGTGACCTGGGCGGTGAAAGTCAATGCCAACTAGTTTAACTGGTGACCTGAGTAGTGGAAGTCGAAGCCGACCAGCTTAACTGGTTAGGAGACCTTAGACTTAGCCAAGTAAGGCTCGCTAGAAGGATGTAAGGGGCTCAAGATAAAATTTAAAGATTCTTCCACTTAGGAGAAGTGTAGCCACTTAGACTGCGTCAATAAGGAGGGTAAATCAAGAAATAAGCACTACATTCACCGCCAGGTGAAGTGTAGCCACTTAGTCCCCGAGCCTGTTGGAAAATGAAGAATGAATCTTGTAGCAGGGTTAAAGAAAAGAAGTCTGAAAGCTTGCCGACGTCATCTGACATGCGCGTATCAAGACCCTAGACTTGCTGCCCAAGATTAGCACCCTGATCTGAATAGTATGGAGCAGTTTGATAGCACACCGATAAGACGTAGCAAGATCCGACCACCAAGGGAGTCCCCAGCTTAGCTGGCGACGCTTGCACGAAGAATCCGAGCACCGATGAGTCCTCGGCTTAGCTGGT